AAAGGTGCATGGGATATATACAGTATATACAATACGTCCTCTTGGGACAGTTTTTGTTTGTTTTTTATAGTAGGATTATTATACAGGGTTATTAGATGTGGCGTTTACATGTGTATTTATATAGATGGATAAAAACTAAAAACTGTTTTCTCACCCCTCGTGGGGTGGTATGTGTCATCCTCAAGCTCGGGTCCTCTACCAGAGGCCTGGGAGTTTGAGGGTTCTGCGCAGTATCTTAGCTGTTCCTAGCACTGCGCTCTTCTGGACAGAGACCTCTGATGTTTTACCTGGAATCTGCTGTAGCCACTCTCCCAGTTTGGGGGTCACAGCCCCCAGTGCTCCAATTACCACTGGCACCACTGCTGCTCTTACTTTCCACATCTTTTCTAGCTCCTCCTTCAGTCCTTGGTATTTCTCAAGCTCCTCGTGTTCTTTCTTCTTAATGTTGCTGTCGCTTGGGATTGCCACATCTATCACTACTGCCTTCTTCTGCTGTTTGTCGATCAACACGATGTCTGGTTGGTTAGCCATCACCTGTTTGTCAGTCTGGATCTTGAAGTCCCATAGGATCTTAGCTCGGTCATTCTCAACTACCTTAGGAGGTGTCTTCCATTTTGACCTTGGGACTTCCAGCCCATCCTCATGGCAGATGTTCCTGTACACTATGACAGCTACCTGGTTGTGGCGTTCCATGTATGCACTTCCTGCCTGCATTTTACACCCCGCTGTTATGTGCTGTATTGTTTCAGGGGCATCTTTGCACAGTCTGCATCGGGGGTCCTGCCTGGTGTGGTAGACCCTGGCCTCTATTGATCTTGTACTGAGTGCCTGTTCTTGTGCTGCCATGATTAGTGCCTCTGTGCTGTCCTTCAGTCCAGCCTTTTCCAGCCACTGGTAGGATTTTTTGATATCAGCCACTTCTTCTATTTGTCTGTGGTATATGCCGTGCAGCGGCTTGTCCCTCCATGATGGTTCTCCTTCCTCTTTCTTGTCCTCACTTTCGGTTTTCTCCTGCCTGAGGTATTCACCAAGCCATTTCTCTTTGGGGGCCATCTTTCTGATGTACTCCTGGGTCTTAGTTGTTTCATCCTGGACAGTGGTCTTGACACTCACTAGCCCTCGGCCTCCCTCGCTACGCTTGGTGTACAGTCTCAGAGTGCTGGATTTGGGGTGGAACCCACCATGCATTGTGAGGAGCTTTCTCGTCTTGATGTCAGTAGCCTCTATCTCCTCCTTTGGCCAGTTTATTATACCAGCGGGGTATCTGATGACTGGTAGGGCATATGTGTTGATGGCTTGGATCTTGTTTTTCCCATTCAGCTGACTTTTCAGGACCTGCCTTACTCTTTGTAGGTATTTAGCTGTGGCAGTATTTCTTGCCATCTCCTCGTGGTTTCCGTTAGCCTGTGGCACCCCAAGGTATTTGTAGCTGTCCTGAACATCTGTTATGTGGCCTTCTGGTAGTTCAACCCCCTCGGTTCTGATCATCTTCTCTGTCTTTGAGACCATGCGACCGCACTTGTCCAGTCCGAATGACATCCCAATGTCGTTGCTGTAGATCCTGGTAGTGTGGATCAGTGAGTCGATGCCTCGCTCACTCCTGGCATACAGCTTGATGTCATCCATGTAGAGGAGGTGACTGATGATTGTTCCGCTTAGGAATTGGTATCCGTAGCCAGTCTTTGTGATGATCTGGCTGAGGGGGTTCAGGCCTATGCAGAACAGCAGCGGGGATAGTGCATTGCCTTGGTATATGCCGCACTTGATGGTGACTTGTGCTATTGGCTTTGCATTGGCTTCCAGACTTGTTTTCCACAGCTTCATTGAGTTCTTGATGAAGGCTATTAGAGTCCTGTTGATCTTGTACATTTCCAGGCATTCCAGTATCCATGTATGTGGCATTGAGTCATAGGCTTTCTTATAGTCAATCCAGGCAGTGCACAGATTTGTCTGCCTGGTCTTACAGTCTCGGGTGACTGCTCTATCCACTAGTAGCTGGTGCTTGGCTCCTCTGGTGTTGCTTCCTATTCCCTATATATATATAAGTATATAAGTATATATATATATATATATATATATATATATATATATATATATATATATATATATATATATATATATATATATATATATATATATATATATATATACAGGTGCTGGTCATAAAATTAGAATATCATGAAAAAGTAGATTGATTTCAGTAATTCCATTTAAAAAGTGAAACTTGTATATTATATTCATACATTACATACAAACTCATATATTTCAGATGTTTATTTTGTTTAATTTTGATGATTACAAATGACAACAAATGAAAATCTCAAATTCATCATATCAGAAAATTAGAATATTACTGAAGACCAATAAAAACAAAGGATTTATAGAAATGTTGGCCAACTGAAAAGTATGAACATGAAAAGTATGAGCATGTACAGCACTCAGTATTTAGTTGGGCCTCCTTTGGCCTGTATTACTGCAGCAATGCGGCGTGGCATGGAGTCGATCAGTCTGTGGCACTGCTCAGGTGTTATGATAGCCCAGGTTGCTCTAATAGTGGCTTTTAGCTCTTCTGAATTGTTGGGTCTGGTGTATTGCATCTTCTTCTTCACAATACCCCATAGATTTTCTATGGGGTTAAGGTCAGGAGAGTTTGCTGGCCAATTAAGAACAGGGATACCATGGTCCTTCAACCAGGTACTGGTAGCTTTGGCACTGTGTGCAGGTGCCAAGTCCTGTTGGAAAATGAAATCTGCATCTCCAAAAAGTTGGTCAGCTGCAGGAAGCATGAAGTGCTCTAAAACTTCCTGGTATGTGGCTGCGTTGACCCTGGACCTCAGAAAACACAATGGACCAACACCAGCAGATGACATGGCACCCCAAACCATCACTGACTGTGGAAACTTTACACTGGACTTCAAGCAACGTGGATGAAGTGCCTCTCTTCTTTTCCTCCAGACTCTGGGACCTTGATTTCCAAAGGAAATGCAAAATTTACTTTCATCAGAGAACATGACTTTGGACCACTCACCAGCAGTCCAGTCCTGTTTCTCTTTAGCCCAGGCAAGACGCTTCTGACGCTGTCTGTGGTTCAAGAGTGGCTTGACACAAGGAATGCGACAGCAGAAACCCATGTCTTTCATACGTCTGTGTGTGGTGGTTCTTGAAGCACTCACTCCAGCTGCAGTCCACTCTTTGTGAATCTCCCCCACATTTTTGAAGGGGTTTTGTTTCACAATCCTCTCCAGGGTGCGGTTATCTCTCTTGCTTGTACACTTTTTTCGACCACATCTTTTCCTTCCCTTCGCCTCTCTATTAATGTGCTTGGACACTGAGCTCTGTGAACAGCCAGCCTCTTTAGCGATGACCTTTTGTGTCTTGCCCTCCTTGTGCAAGGTGTCGATGGTCGTCTTTTGGACAACTGTCAAGTCAGCAGTCTTCCCCATGATTGTGTAGCCTATAGAACTAGACTGAGAGACCATTTAAAGGCTTTTGCAGGTGGTTTGAGTTAATTAGCTGATTAGAGTGTGGCACCAGGGGCCATCAATTTTGAACCTTTTCACAATATTCTAATTTTCTGATATGATGAATTTGAGATTTTCATTTGTTGTCATTTGTAATCATCAAAATTAAACAAAATAAACATCTGAAATATATGAGTTTGTATGTAATGTATGAATATAATATACAAGTTTCACTTTTTAAATGGAATTACTGAAATCAATCTACTTTTTCATGATATTCTAATTTTATGACCAGCACCTGTATGTATATATATATATATATATATATATATATATATATATATATATATATATATATATATATATATATATATATATATATATATATATATATATATATATACTGTAATTGCACTGGATGTTAAATATAGAAATTGAAAATCTATGCTCAAATTCGAGTATTCCATAATTGATTAATCGGCCTCGGCATATGCACTGCAGGAACGATCCAGAAATAAGTAAAAAATTCTTAAATTAAGTATATTTACCCTTAATTTGAGCAGGTAAATAAGATGATCTGCCAATGGCATGAGTATTTTTACTCTTAAAATAAGATAGTTAGATAATATGCACTTGAAATAAGACAAAAACATTGTTTTTTCTTATTTTAAAAGCACATCGTCTTGTTCCATTGGCAAAGTGTCTCACTTACCTCCTTAATTCAAGGAAAAATGCACTTATTTTAAGAAAAAAAATAACTTATTGAGATTTCTATTTTTGCAGTGTGGCCGCTCACACTGAGCCTGGTTTTGCACTGGAAAAAGGATCTAAAAATAAGTAGAAATGTCTTAAATTAAGTGTATTTACGCTTAATTTGAGTAGGTAAATGAGATAGTTTGCCAATGGAATGAGTATTTTTGCTCTTAAAATAAGAAAATTAGATAAAATGCACCTGAAATAAGACAATGAAATTGTGTTTTCTTATTGTAAGTGTAAATTGTCTTGTTCCATTGGCAAAATCTCTCTTTTACCTACTAAATCCAAGAACAAATACACTTATTTTAAGAAAAAACAACTTATCTAGATTTCGATTTTTTTCCAGTGTGCTGGAGGTTTCTTCCTGTTCAAAGGGTGTTTTTCCTCTCCACTGTCGCCACAAGCATGCTTAGTGTGAGGGATTGTATTTGAGTCAATGAGTCGATGCAATCAACTGGTTTTCCTTAGATAGAAAACTTTGAATCAATCTGACTGGATGATCTGGTTGAACTGTAAAGTGCCTTGAGATGACTTGTGTTGTGAATTGGCGCTATAGAAATAAACAGAATTGAATTGAAATTAATAAACCAATTTAAAATTCCTTTTGCATAATTTAACTTTAAATGTGCAAGTAGAAACTGCTGTTCAGGCTGGATTTCAAATTGCACGATTCAAATGTAAAATATGAATCAGCTGGTTTTCTTCTTCAGTGACTCTCTAGGTCCTCCATAATATTTAGCAGTAAAAACTTCTCATACAAATATGTGTCTGTGTGTCTTCCAGCCACTTGGTGCCGTACGGATTCGGACCGGTTCGCCTGCGGAGGGAGCTGCAGCGCTGCTTCTGCACTGATTCTCGGGACAGAGAGTGTTTCAGCTTCTGCTCCAAGCAAACACAAACACAGTGAGTGAACACAGACAGACACGTGTGAGCGAAGCAGGCTGTGGAGTCAGTATAACAACACAGGCTTCAGGGGGTCGGTGTGGGGGCCCGGCTCCCGTTCTGGCACTCGTCCCAAACTTTAACTAGACTTCCTCCTGGAACTCAGGGTGAACGCATGTAAACACAAACACATCTATGAGCTCAGGTCCTGCTACTGTCTGATATCACAGAAACCTGCAGCAAACAACACACTTCTAGGTTTTATGAATTATCTGAGTTCCTTTTCCTCATCTTTTATTTTCTACTTTTTTTTTTAAGCATGTTATTTTTCTCCTTCTTTATTGTTAAGTTTTGTTTATTATGTTCACTGGGAAAATGATCTAGAAATAAGTAGAAATGTCTTAAATTAAGTGCATTTACCCTTATTTTGAGCAGGTAAATATGATAGTTTGCCAATGGGATGAGTATTTTCACTCTTAGTATAAGATAATTAGATAATATGCACTGGAAAAAAGACAACGCAATTGTTTTTTCTTATTTTAAATGTTAATTGTCTCGTTCCATTGGCGAAATGTCTAATTTTCCTCCTCGATTCAAGAAAAAAATGCTATTATTTTAAGAAAAAATGACTTATGTAGATTAAATTTTTTTGCAGTGTTGCAGTAATTCTGGTCCACCCGCCATCTTTACCTTATGATCCTCTAATTCTGTCGCACCATTAATAAAGTCAGTAAAGCTTTTTAGAAAACTGTTGAAGTTATTTATCCTTTAAAGCTGCAATATAAAGAGTTTCTCTGTTTTTAGGCGATCTGGGCTGCGTTTGAGCATATTGTCTAAAAAATCTAAGATGTGTTAACTAGTGTTGCAACAATACCGATCTCGTTGAGTACCAACAAATAGGGCACTGATACCATTTTAAGAGCCAAAAGTTTATTCAACTATTGTCTCCCATTCCAGTTGGGCAATAAAAAGTTCTACTGGATTCACTTTTAGTCTTTTTCCTGCTTCACAAAGGTAGGCAGCAGCTTGATAAAGCCATGATGGCAATTATTTTACATCCAACTAGTATGCAGTTCTTCATATATACACACACATCAATTTCAAACAGATGGTATCGGTATTGGCCGATACTGCACAGCCGGTTATTCAGGGTTCCTGCGGGTCCTTAAAAAGTCTTAAAAGGCATTGAATTCTTCAAAATAAAACTAAGGCCTTAATTGGTATTAAAATGTCTTAAATCAGTCTTTCGTAGGTCTTAATTTTTGAAACATCACAAATAGGAATATTTTTATTCCGATTTATGTTTGTAATCCAAATAAAACGTTAAAATTTACAAATTTTTTTTTTTATTAAAAAATAACAGCTCGCCATTATTGGTTCCGTTCCGATAGCGGAACCAATAAAGCGTTGTTGCGGCCGGGACATTTGGGAGATGCGCCATTAACTTTTTGTCTGGAAAATCTGAGCAAGTGTAAATGTAACCAAAATTGTCTCCAGCCAAGAGTTTCCTCCATGGCTAAAACCAGGGAACATCCATGAGGCTCAGTGGATTTAGTGCAAGAAGTCATTCAAGCTCAGAACGATGGGAATTAAGGCAGTGGAGTCGCACATGCGAAGCACGAAACACAAAGCGTCAAAATGGAGTTACAGAGAAACAGCCGGTATTTCTCAGTTTAGTTCCACCCTTGTCTCTGCAACGCCTCCACTTATCACCAAATCAAACATACTAAGAAAACCATACAAAGAAAAATAGCTGCAAAAAGACTTAGCACTGGTTATGTTGGGGCTTTAAAACTGATTAGTTTTGTTCCCTGCTAAAACAAAGTTTGTGAATTCAGTTAAATAATTGTTCAAATATATCTGTCATTTGTGTGTTTTTAGCTTTCTTCCTGTATGGGAAGCTTTTCAACATTTGAAACATTAGCGCAGTGGTTTATGTTAAAATAAACCTTTGGGTTAAGTTGTCGCAAGCAGGTTTTTCTTGTGTTTCTTGTGTTTCTTGGTCTTAAATTTTTATTTCAAGTGGCATTAAAAAGTCTTAAAAAGTCTTGAATTTAACTTGCCTTATGCTGTAGGAACCCGGAGCCAAAACATGGCATCAGTGCAACACTAGTGTAAACTGGGGTGCAACTATGGTTGCGGAGGTAGAACACATGACCTCACATGACCCATATACCAGCTGTCACGGGTTCGATTCCCAATCCTGCTGACCTTTGCTGAATGTCTCTCCCCGCTCTTGTAACTCACTTTCCTGTCTACATACTTTCAAAAATAACAAAATAAAGGCCACTAGAGGCAAATAAATTCATCTTAAAATTTATAAACTTGGTTTTCGAAGTAGGTAGCGCTGCTGCCTTGCAGCAAGAAGGTCCTGGGTTCAATTCCCAGCCCGGGGTCTTTCTGTATGTAGTTTGCATGTTCTCCCTGAGCATGCATGGGTTCTCTGGGTACTCCGATTTCCTCCCACAGTCCAAAAACATGACTGTTTGGTTAATTTGGACAAGTTGCTTGTCCTGTGTGTCTCTGTGTTGCCCTGCAATGGACTGGCAACCTGTCCAGGGCGGACCCTGCCTCTAGCCTGTAGACAGCTGGAGATAGGAACCAGCACCCCTTGTAAGCCAACTTTGGATAAGCATGATGGAAAATTGATGGATGTCAAAATTAATAAACCTAAACTGGAAAAAATAAGAATTTCCTAATCTTACCTACCTACCTGTTGGCTTTAAAACGATCCTAGAAAGATAAACTTGAGTAAATTCATGTTTTTATTGAGCTGTTTCACATAAACTCTCTTTTTTTTTACCTCCAGGGAGGAGAACTTTGTTATGAAGATGAAGGCCGAGAAACAGAAGAGCTACAAAAGTGCATTGTGGGAAAAACGAAGCCGGCACGCTCTCAAACACCAGACCTGAGACGGCGGAGAGGTTCAACAGAAACACCAGCTCTTCAGAACGGAAGTCCTTAAAGTATCTAAAACATCTAATATTGGACCCTTTGGACCATGGCGGCGGTCCGGGCGTGTACAGTGACATTTTTTTGTTAATGTGATGATGATGATGTTAGAACCGGAGCTTCAAACACTGACAGGCTTTAGCTCAGAAAAATCGGTGACCTCTGTGTTCATTCTAGTCCTGCTTCTAACCGTTAAGCTAAAAAAAAATCAGCAGAAAACCTCAAAGCAGAACATTTAGGAAGGTTTAGTGTTTCACAGGAGAGTTTGAAAGTTTTTCACTGGAAAAGATCCACTACACACTAGAACAACGATTCTTATGATACTGTTTGTGATTCAGTGACACAATGAAATTTTGTCACATTAAAACCAGAAACTTCAATATTTCTTATTAGGATTTTATGTGCAAAGCTAGAAACTTCTAAAATAACTCTGGATCAAAGAATTGGGCAGATCTTTAAATAGTAAGAAATGCCTTTCGGAGTTTACCTCAGGCCCTGAACACACCATCCTGATTATGAACCATGTTAGTGGCCCCATGATGCTGTGTAGGTGGTGTTCTTTAGGACGGAAAGATAAACTGGTGGTTTTGATGAAAAGATGGAGATAAATGACTGAAGCTTCAACCAAAACATTATTGATGTTCTGAAATGGCCTATTCAAAGTCCAGACTTAGTTTATTTCTATAGCGCCAATTCAAAACACGTCATCTCAAGGCACTTTACAGTTCACCAGATCATAAATTCAAATTGATTTAAAGTTTTATCTAAGGAAAACCAGTTGATTGCATCGACTCATTGACTCGAATGCAATCCCTCACATTAAGCATGCTTGTGGCGACAGTGGAGAGGAAAAACTCCCTTTTAACAGGAAGAAACCTCCAGCAGAAGCAGGCTCAGTGTGAGCGGCCATCTGCTGAGGCCCACTGGGGTTCAAGGAGACAGAGGCAGACACTTATATCCATTTGAAAATCCGTAACAAGACCTGAAAATTGATGTTCTCTGATATTCTGACTGAGGATGGGCTTCTCTTTTGGAGTAAAATCAGCCAAATTTTCCTGATGTGCTACACGGTTAGAGTCTGGCTACTACAACAGCAGCTAATTACTCCAAACACAACCAATTTTTATTCCGGAATAATTTTTCCTTTTCACAATCAAGCACTTATAATGATTTGTTGAAGGTTTTGGTTGTTATGTAACCAAATGTGAAGATAAGAACAAATATATACCACTACCTGCCTTAATGACAACAGGGTCACAGTGTTTGATCAGTCAGATAAACATCCTGACCTAAACCTTACAAATCTTTATCCCTGCAGCTTGTGCATCGTTCTGTGTCAGACTTTTTCCTTCCATTAAACTTTCCATTCATATGCTTTAATAATGTAGAGTCTAAACCTGATCTGCTTTAAAGGTGCATCGCCATGTTTTCTGATGATACAAAAATGACCAAAAACTATCCGATAATAATGGAATAAGGATTAGATCTTTTCTTTTTGAGCATAAATATACTACATATAATTCCAGCCTATGGCGCCATCTGCTGGCAGTACTGCAGCACTATCAGAATGCTAGATGGGGACCAACTGATGGATGGATGGATCTTTGTCGTTAGTATCAGTGTTTAGCAAACAAGGTGTGAATCTCAAAAATTGCAAATAATATTTTTGTGTTGCCTTTAAGAAATACTTTTTTTTGCAATCCAGTGAGCAGCAGGCGTATAAATCTTTATTAAAAAATATCAAATAACATGACAATGCACCTTTAAAGTCAGAGATTCACCATGAAACAAACAGGCTTTAAGTTCAGAGCAGTTAGATGTGCTGAGTTCAGATTCCTCAGGAAATCCTAACTTCTTCAAAAGAATAATTTCTAGTAAATCAAGATCTTTTCAGATCTCTGACTGTTTTCTTTCTTTTACCTGAAACACATGAAAAACAAATATCACAGTCAAAATAAGTAATCCAACTTTTTGAATGAAGAGTCAAAGATTCTGTGTTGGAAATAGCGGCGTCTCAGTCTACTTAAACTCATTTAAAGCATTTTTGGGGAAATCTGACATTTATCCTCAGTGTAAGCTGAGACTTTACCGTTTAACTAACCTGCTCTTCTGTGTTTGACACTTTATGGTTTGAATTAAGCTCCTTTATCCTCGGCTCAACAACTCGACCAAATCTTCATTTTGACATAAAACTTATAAAGCATTATAAAAAAAAAAATCATCATTCCATCAGATCCAAAATGAAAACATCTCGTTCGATGATGGATTGCACATTAATCGGAATGAGGATCATTTTTATCTTTGAGGATTTCCCCTGCTGTCAGAGTTGCAGACTCATTGTGTGAATATGAATAATAGTGATGATGATTATAATATATCTGTCTGTAAAAAATGTTTTTGTTTTTTTTTGCTGCTTTACTTTTGTGTATTTTCTTTTCATGATTGCATGCATTAATGCAGCAGTAGAGGCTTTCTGCTGTCTGTGTTTATATCTGTTTGCACCTTTACGTCTTCCTCCAACATGTAAACGTATCTCTGAAAAATGATGCACACAGATTAGCAGAGTGTAAAATAAAGTATTTATTTCTTCTTTAACCCTAAAAGTGTCTCCATGTCTTTGTTGGTGTTTGCTTGGAGGCGGAGGTGTTGTTTTCTGAGACATTTAAAATATGGAGAGCACCTCTAAAATTCTATGGTTTTAAGAATTTGCAACCTGTTGGAGCTTCCTAACCTTTTATACAAAGATTCACATTTTCTCTGCACACAACAAGCCCTTTATTCTCAAAGACTATCCTGACCAGCCTGTCTGATTTATACTGGCTGCAAGTCAGTCTGGTAATACGACTGACTTGTGGTATAATAATACTATTATTGCCAGGCTAGAGACCTAAGTCCACTTTGACAACCTGCCCAGTTTGATGCTGTTGCTTAATGGTTTGGACAACCTTTAAAGATGTCCAACTTACGATCCAAATCTAGTTTGTGAGCAGGTGTTCTGGATTCATTGGCACCAGGAAGTACTGTAAGTCACTTTTCCTCTCAGTTAAGGAAAATACTCATCAGTCTGCTGCAGCAAAATAAACATTAAGGGAATTTCTTACATTTGTTAAGCTCTAGATCCACAGAGGAAGGGGAAGGCCGTAGTCTAAGAAGTAGTTGGAGTCAATAATTGGGAACACTTTCAGGTGTTAAAAACTAAAAGTTTAAAGTACAAAAATCTTACAATTTTCAAAATGAATGTGATCCTTTTCTTCTGTTATGAAGTTTCCTGAAGTCTTTAAGACTCAAATAAAATTGCTGTCATCAAGTCTTTAAGTACACTCTGCTCAGTAGTAATAATCCCCTCCAAACAGCATGGCTGCATGCTTCATATTATATAATCATGTTGAAAGCAGTGATTGAGCTTTGAGATGTGTCATTTCTGATAGCGAGGTGGATGTTTGGCTCCAGTCTGAGGCTCAGCAGACCATTTAATGATGGATTAGATTCACACGCAAGGCAAACTTCCGTCATCAGTGACAATTACAAATTACTGTCATCAACATGCCAACACCTCCGAAACAAGGACCGGTTAGGCAAACAGAACAGAGTTTTATTCAGGCACTTTGCTGCCACCTGGTGGACAATTTGGATAACAGGAGCCCTTAAGAAATAAATAATTCAACTTTATTGTCATTACACTGTCACAAGTACAGAGCAACGAAATTCACTCTCTGCATTGAACCCATCCCTTTGGGGAGCAGTGGGCTGCCATTGTACGGTGCCTTAAGAGAAGTGTGGGGTTAAGGGTCTTTGCTCAGGGACCCAGAGTGGCAGTCTGTGGGAGTGGGTCTTGTACTCAGAACCTCTGGGATCCAAACACAATGCCTTGTGTGCTGCAGTTTGTGGCACTCTTATCTTGCACTAAGAAAGTTCTGGGTTAAATTCCTGACTGAAGAACTTTCTACATGGAGTTTGCATGTCTTCCCATTGGTTCTCTCCAGGTACTCCGGCTTCCTCACACGGTCCGAAAACATCCCTGTTAGTTTAATCTCTAAGTTAACCCTTGAGTGTGTGTGAGCATGATTGTTTGTCTTTGTGTGTCTCTGTGCTTCCCTGCTCATAGGCTGTATCTTGGCCTTACCTTGAGCAAGACAGTAAGCATTCAACTGTCAATTGTCTCTGATGAATGGGCTCTATGCACAGCTCCACTACTTCCTGAATTTAAAGCAGCTCCTTTGTTTCCTGTCTTTCATGATTGGATGCACTGATTAATCCAGGTGTGTATGACCTAAGTAACTGGCCAGACACACCTGGATTAATCAGTTCGTCCAGTAATGAAAGACAGGAAACAAAGGAGCTGCTTTAAATTCAGGAAGTAGTGGAGCTGTGCATAGAGCCCATTAAATCATCAATGAAGACCTATTCTCCCTCACTTCCAAAAAATGTCTCAGATATCAGCTACTTCCATCTAGTGGACAATACGTAGACCTACATCAGGATTATTCATTATTCAGGACATTTCAGAGTATAGGTCAGGAGAACAGCAGGAAGAATGTTTCCAAGATGACTTGGATAATAGGCTGTTGTGACAAACACCAGATACAGCACTGGGACTTCTCAGCCATCTGCCGAGGCCTACTGGGGTTCAAGGAGACAGAAGCAGAGATACAAAAAGCAACTGTAAAAGGTGTCCCCGTCCAGGAAACACACAGCCAGGCAGACGACCTTCGAGCCAGCTCCCATGTCAGAGGATGAAGTGACCACATCCAGCCAGTCACAACCAGAGAAACAGGACTACACTGAAAAACAGGCCGATCTCCAACATCTATAAACAAAGGTGTTGATGGCAGCAGCACAGCTGATATTTCTCTCCAGGATGGAGTCACAGCCAAACAGGAACAGACCAGATGAAGCTACTATGAGAAAAAGCAGAGAGAGCAGAACGTTAGAGATTGAACTAACAGATTCTGCAGAGTGGGAGAATAGAGATAGAATGAAGCAGAATGATGAAAAAGGGGTCCCTATGTCCTCCAGCAGTCTAAGCCTATAGCAGGATAACTATAGAGATACACTATATTGCCAAAAGTATTTGCTCACCCATCCAAATTATTGGAATCAGGTGTTCCAATCACTTCCATGGCCACAGGTGTATAAATTCAAGCACCTAGGCATGCAGACTGTTTTTACAAACATTTGTGAAAGAATGGGTCGCTCTCAGGAGCTCAGTGAATTCCAGCGTGGAACTGTGATAGGATGCCACCTGTGCAACAAATCCAGTCGTGAAATTTCCTCGCTCCTAAATATTCCACAGTCAACTGTCAGCTGTATTATAAGAAAATGGAAGTGTTTGGGAACGACAGCAACTCAGCCACGAAGTGGTAGGCCACGTAAACTGACGGAGCGGGGTCAGCGGATGCTGACGCGCATAGTGCGAAGAGGTCGCCAACTTTCTGCAGAGTCAATCACTACAGACCTCCAAACTTCATGTGGCCTTCAGATTAGCTCAAGAACAGTGCGCAGAGAGCTTCATGGAATGGGTTTCCATGGTCGAGCAGCTGCATCCAAGCCATACATCACCAAGTGCAATGCAAAGCGTCGGATGCGGTGGTGTAAAGCACGCCGCCACTGGACTCTAGAGCAGTGGAGACGCGTTCTCTGGAGTGACGAATCGCGCTTCTCCATCTGGCAATCTGATGGACGGGTCTGGGTTTGGCGGTTGCCAGGAGAACGGTACTTGTCTGACTGCATTGTGCCAAGTGTAAAGTTTGGTGGAGGGGGGATTATGGT